TTAATTAAAAATAAATATAATCAGTAATCTTTTTAAAATCTTTTTTTAATTTGAAAAATCATTGACATAATATCTTTTATTTTTGATTAAAATAAATTTTATTAATAATCTTTTTTAAATGTAAGTACTTTTTTGGTATATTTGTTTTATTTTATATAATGTAAGTACGTTTTTGGTTCAAAAATGTTTAGGGACTTTATCGCTTAAAATATGAATGTTCATTGGCTTTTTTCATGCTTTTTCTATTATTTTATTACGTTAGTTAGTTTTATAGGTTATAAGAATGTATATAACAAGTTTTAGAAAGTCCAAAGAGTTGTTTAACTGGTTTGGAATGTCCAAGAACTTATTTGTTTCAAAAAATTGTTCAAGGACTTAATCATTCCAAACACTAAAGTCCATTGGTTTTTTTATAGACTTTTCTCCATTGAGAATTGTTCAATAGGAAATATAAATTAACTTTACCGTGGGAGTAGTAACAGTGTTTGAGAACCGAATATACATGTCACTTTTAAGAATTCATGCGTAAAGAAGTAATACCTTATGTATTTAAGGTTGTTTTTAAAACATTTATCAAATCTGGTTTATAATATAGCATAGATAAATAATTTTTAACCGTCGTAATTTTTTATTATATAAACTATGGATCGATTCATAAACAATGATTGAGAGTGACACATTAATAAGACGTGTAAAAAAAGGAAAATTGATGTAAGAGAGAGAAATTAATGTGATAAAGTCATGAAGGAATACTCTAATAACACATATTATAAACCTGGATTCGACTCCCACCTCATATGTTCATCCCCGTCCTTATTAGAATTGTAATTACGGAGTTGTTTGTTTACTTTTTAATAGTTTCATTAAGAGACAATATCTGAATTGTAAGAGGTAAATCTTGTTTGGCAAAAAAAGTCTGTCTCTAAATAGTTTTGAAACTCTTTGAATGATTTTGTAACCTATACCTTTCTTAATCATTAAAAACCCTAATTTCATTAAAAACAATTATATTTAATTTTACACGGTATCATAAGATCCAACAAACCATTTTGAACGATTCATTATTCTGTACCGAAAACAACCCCGTTTCGTTGATCCCCGCCTTTATTGAACACCTTCTTCAACACAAACTCATAACGAATCCTAGTTTGCATATTCAGGCACCATCTTCATATCCACTCTACGTTTTAAGCACAAAATAGAGATAGAGAAGCCAGAAGCGAGAGGTTTTGAAGCCCAACTCCGGCTAGAACTATGAACGAAAGCTTAATGCAAAGGAGATTCGGAATATTGTCAATTGACCCGGTTTGAACTTCAGCTCAATTTTTGGTAAATATACCGCAAAAAGAACTCGGACACCCTTCATTACTAATATTTTGGTATATAATACGTACGCGAAAGGCCATCGATTATTTTCACACCATTTATGAGCTCTGAAAAAATTGAAGTCTTCGTCAACGGACCCTCACCATATATTTATGTTCTTGGTAGGGTTGGTTTCCCTGCTACTGATATTCAATGTATGAGCTGTAATTGGGTTGATCCCTCCATTTGTTTTTCTGTTTTTATTTAACTAGGAGGCCTTGTTAGTTGCTTAGCTCCATAATTTCCCCTACAGCAGTGAAGTGAAATGAGCTCAAGAAGTGAAGAACAAAGACCCATCAATCTGCCATTATTGGATCAAGGTATTCAACTTTATTTTACATGTTCTTTAACCATGCAGTTGAAACACACATGTTTTCATGAACCACATTCTTGGCCAAAAGATTTAGGTTTTGATTTTGCTTGGTAGTATGCATGCCTTCTTAGCCTTCAAATTCTTGTGTCTTTCAGAGGAATCTAATGATGATGTGGAAATTGGAAACATTCAAGACCCTGTCCAATTTCTTCTTCATTCTGCAAAGAATCACAGGAACAAAATTTCACCATCTATTCACATGATTCCGAGCAGGATTCGACATCTAAACCCAAGGGTTTTCAACCCTCGTCAGGTCTCTATCGGACCTCTTCACAGAAAAAGAAAGAATTTGAAAGCATTTGAAGGAACAAAAGCGATTTTTCTGCATGATCTTTTGCATTATTCAGGTGTCCCACCAGAGCAAATATTGGAAACATGTGTGCAGAAGGTGAATGCTTCCTTAGGCAGAATCAAGGCATGTTATGGCAACGGGATGAAGAGCTACAGTGACGATCAGATTACAAGAATGATGGTAATGGATGGTTGTTTCATACTCGAATTTATTTACAAGTTACTCAAGCATAAATTTGATGAAGAGATGGTGATTGAGCCCATATCTATGGCTTTTGACCTGGTGCTGCTAGAAAACCAAATCCCCTTTTTGGTTCTTGAACACATCTTTGAATGCACTTCTTCCAGATTTCAACCAGAAGTAGCATCTCTAAATGCACTTATTATCCTTGGACTTATACCAGCTCTTGGCTTCCTTGATTTAAAATGCAAAAAGAATAAGGTTTTTGATGGAACTGATCATATTCTAGGTTTTATTCATGAATGTTACAGACCTTTACCTTTATGTGATAAACTGCCATCAGATTCATTCGAAAATCGTATTCTAGGTTTTATTCAAGACTGTTACAGACCTTTATGTGATGCAGTCAAAAAAGCTGTTGAAAAAATTCAGACCCCAGATTTAGGCATAGATGTAAATGCTCAGTCGTCTGAAGATTTTGAAATAGATCTGTCATCAAATTCAGATAAGTTCTATTCAGCTGTAGAACTGGACAGATCAGGGGTGAACTTTAAGCCTCATCATCAACCCTCTCCAAAAAACAAAAAAGATGGAAAATGGTCCATGGACATTGAGCTAACATTCCCTCTTTGTTTCTGGTGTAGGCCTTGGGCTAAGCCTACTCTCAGAATGCCAGTCATGCGTATTCACAATTACACTGAGTTGGTTTTTAGGAACCTGATTGCGTATGAGCAACTATCTCCTGGCTCGGTTTGTCATTACGTTACATCATATGCCATAGCCATGGATCGACTAATTGACAATCATGAGGATGTTGCCAGATTGGTAAAATCACAAGTCCTTATCAACACTATAGGTTCAAACGAAGAGGCCGCAAAATTGATTAACGACTTGCGCAAAGAAATCTCTAGTCCACATTTTTTTTACGTTCAGGTGTGGAAAGAAATGAATGGGTACCACGATAGGGTTGTGCCCAGAAATATTGCAAAGTTGAGGCGTACATATTTCAGTAACCCATGGAGTAGCATTGCTCTCTTTGCGGGTATCTTCCTGTTTCTTTTTACTCTGGTTCAGACCTACTATACCATCAACCCTGTATGATCCTCTATATATTCATTCAGCCAACTGTTGATTTTATTGTCTTTTCTGTATGTAATTTATTCTCTTTCTGCAAGTCATCCATGTTGTATAAGTATCATTTTCAATGTTAAGCTTAAATTACGACTATATTTATTCACTTTACGAGTATTTTGGATACTTTGTTATTCTCAAAATTAAGCTTAACTTGCGCAAAATTTCTTTAGGGAGCCCTGTGCAATCATAATAATTCTCAAGATACAAGTGTGTTCAGTGAACACCTTCTGCAACACAAACACATAACTGTTTGTAGTTTGCATATTCAGCACCATCCCATATCCAGTCTAAGTTTAGGCACATAATAAAGATAGAGAAGCCGGAAGCAAGAGAGGTTTTGAAGCCTCCCCAACTCCGGCTAGAGCCATGAACGAAAGCTTAATACACAAAAGGCGATTTATGAGCTCTGGAAAAATTTAAGTCTTTGTAAACGGAACGGACCCTCACCAAAAATTTAAGTCTTGGTGATCTGTCGTATTTTCTGGGTATTGAGGTTTCTAAATGTTATGAAGGCCTGCTGTTAACTCAATCAAAATACATCACTGATTTGCTCACATCAGCTAGAATGATCAATGCCAAACCAATGCAGTCTCCAATGGCCTTCTCTGTTAGAGTTGCACACATAATATATTCTTTATTGAATTATCATCAAGTTACACAGATGATCATATGATCGAATATATACAAACCCAAGAGACACA